ACGATTAGGATGAACTCGTCCACGTCGAGTAGTAATATTGTTAGCTTTTCGACAGATTTTATACGTTTTTTACCACAGAACTGAAATTTTCATATAAAAACCAGTTTAATAAAATAGTTGAACTTAAAGGTTTTGTCATATTCAAAATAGTTTGAATATGAAATCCGTATAACGATGTCTAATTCCTTTAACACCGAAAATACTTTTATAAAATGTTTGTATAAGTACAGGTGTTCGGCGAAGTTAGTTTAATGCTCAGGTTTCCCTTCAATTCGTATTAATCCCCCTCCACGGTAATCTTTAGTAAAAGGCGAAATAGGCTCATTGTAATGTTTAGGCGAGAAGAACGAAACATCTGTACAGTGCAGTGATGAAGGATAAGAAGGAAGAAATATCTGTACAGTGCAGTGATGGAGGATAAGTAGAACGAAACATCTGTACAGTGCATTTGTACAATGATGAAGGATAAGAAGAATGAAACATCTGTACAGTGCAGTGATGAAGGATAAGAAGGAAGAAATATCTGTACAGTGCAGTGATGGAGGATAAGTAGAATGAAACATCTGTACAGTGCATCTGTACAATGATGAAGGATAAGAAGAACGAAACATCTATACAGTGCATCTGTACAATGATGAAGGATAAGAAGAACGAAACATCTGTACAGTGCAGTGATGAAGAATAAGAAGAACGAAACATCTATACGGTGCAGTGATGAAGAATAAAAAGAACAAAATATCTGTACAGTGCATCTGTACAATGATGAAGGATAAGAAGAACGAAACATCTGTACAGTGCAGTGATGAAGGATAAGAAGGAAGAAATACCTGTAGATCATAAATCATAATAGAACCAAACACACGTGGTTTCATAACATTATGTCGAATCACGTAATCACAGCGAATAGTCTCTCGCTTCTGATTGCTTCAATTGCTCTTGAACTAAAAGTTCGCCCAAACTCAGCAACAGAAGCAGTATCTATAGTAGTGTAATTACTCACACTCAAGATTTACATCATTTAACTTGTAATATTGGCAAGGGGCAACAACAGGTAAATAAGAGTATACAGCTTAGTGTAACTGCTCTACAAATGTCCAAACAATTGACGATTAAACACTCCCAATGAGAGGTTTCAACACCCACAACACAAACAGGAACAAAACAACTGTCAACTTTATGTGAATACGATGTGTAAACTTACCTCATAGCATTCGACATTATGACGTAAAAACGCCACAAAATATCGAATCAACAATCAAATTACTAAAATATAAGAAACAGGCATAAAGCTACGCACAAGTAAGTTGAAATACGGTAAAAAACAAAACAAAAAACATCAGCAAATTTTCCTATCGAGATAATTAACGTAGAAGAAATATCTCATAGAGCTAACAAAATTAGTATCTCGTTTTAGCCTGTAGCATTAAAAAATTGAGTTGTTTTTTAAAATTTAAAATGAAGATTTATTGTTGAAACTTCTTTTCCTTTTGGCCCGGCATGGCTAAGTGGTAAGGGTGCTCGACTCGCAATCTGTGGGTCGTGGGTTCGAATCCCCGTCACACCAAACATGCTCGCCCTTTCAGCCGTGGGAGCGTTATAATGTGACGGTTAATCCTACTATTCGTTGGTAAAAGAGTAGCCCAAGAGGTGGCGGTGGGTGGTGATGACTAGCTGCCTTTCCTCTAGTCTTACACTGCTAAATTAGGGACGGTTAGCGCAGATAACCCTGGTGTAGCTTTGCGCGAAATTCAGAAACAAACAATCTTTTCCTTTTTTGCTAAAGGAAAAGGACATGTTTTTAACCAACACTTTGAAACAAGGCATCAACGGTTTTCACATGCTGAGAACAGTACATGCCTTGAAATAAATCAGCGGTATTATTATTTCGATACATAAGGGAACGTTCAAAAATTTAAAACATGAAATTTGTTGTAAATACGCTGTTTATATGCGATAAAATAACAATCTGATAATTGCTGGGTAAGCCTGAATGTTAATTAGAAAATAAATATTATAATCAATTTACGGCAAAGAGGAGTTAAAAAATGTAATGGTCGTTTAACAATCTCCAAAACTTTAAATGTTTTAGTGCCTGGTGACAGAAACATGTCTCAAATAGGATTGACAAGTAATCTACGTAGCTTGATTTTAATCAATCAACAGTTTAATTTTCCTTTGTATTCTGTATCGAAGTGTTTCATTACATAATGATTTCTTCATTTTTAACTCGTTGACTATTTATTTCAAAATTTGCAGTTTAAGGTCTGATATTCTATGAAGCCCTCGCCTGTACTAGATATAGTGTATATAGTGTGGTTGATACTGGATATGGTGTATATAGTTTAGTTGGAATTAGATATTGTGTATATAGTGTAGTTGATATTAGATATTGTGTATATAGTGTGGTTGATACTGGATATGGTGTATATAGTGTGGTTGATACTGGATATGGTGTGCATAGTGTGGTTGAAACTGGATATGGTGTATATAGTGTGGTTGATACTCGATCTTGTATGCTAGATTAAGAAAGTAAATTGTAATGATTATCAATCTTAATTAATTATAAATAACATAATATCATTTATTTTTATCAAAAATTATTCACTGTTATCATTTTATTTGAATTAATCTTGTTTCTCAAGGATCGGATCAAGGGTGATCAAAATAAAAGTACGTTAGTAATTTTAAAAACTTGTCAGTGAACGCAAAGAAGAATATGTAATATCATGTCAACCACACTATGCACACCATATCGAGTATCAACCAACCAATACATACCATATCCAGTATCCACCACACTATGCACACCATATCCAGTGTCAACCACACTATGCACACCATATCGAGTATCAACCACACTATATACACCATGCCCAGTTTCAACCACACTATGCACACCATATCCAGTATCAACCACACTATGCACACCATTTCACACTGTAACGCTTGTTCAAGAAATTGATGATGTAAATAACATCTCGACCGCTACTGTCTGTCGTATCCAGCCAGCTTGATAAGCCCTGGTATTAAACGAAAGGCCTCTTCGACACTGGATATTGTAGATGTAGCGTGGTTGGCTTATTATTACGTATTCGTCTTTGTTTTCAATTATAAGTTCTTAGAATTACTTTGCTAAGTGTCCTGAATTTCAAATAAAACACAGGATCCATATCACACATCACAGAAAACTGATAACGAATGGTGTACAAAGCTGAAAAAAAAAAAATGTTTCGTAATCTTTGACCATACATACATTTTGCTCTTAGAAATCAAATTTGATGACCATCTTCGATAAAATTCTAATGCTAGCTCCAGCTTTGGTTCAATGGTAGTCTTGAGAGCTTACAACGGTAAATTTCGGGCATCTGTAGCGCAGGGTGCAGCTTTCTGCTTAACAACAAACATACTTCAAACCCTATACAGGTTTGTTCACACGTCTTTCAGTACTTGTTAACTTTGAAATTTATTGGTTGAAATATAGTATCTGATTCTTTAAAAAGCAGATTCCATATCTACTTTTAGCTTGTTGTGAAATAAGTTACAGAAGTTTTGTGTTTTTCTCGTATTTTACGCAAAGCTACTTGAGGGTTATCTGCACTAATCTTTCCTAATTTTAAAGCGATAGAGCTTATCAACACCAGTCGCATTCGAACTGTTAGATTATTCTTTACCAAGGAATAGTGAGACTGTCATAACATAACGCCCCGTTCAGCAACCGATTTCGATTCCGCGAACCGTAAATTTGCCCTAACCCGAGAATAGCGCCCTAACTATGCCAAACCCCTTTCAGCAGTAAATATGATAAAAACCTCTGAAAATGAAATAACTAGAAAACTTACATAAAACAACATGAATACAATGACATTTGAAATTCCAAACATTACTTACTACTCGCTCTTATAAAGAAAGGGCTTATTAACGTGTCACTAGATGGCAGCACCAGACTTTTAAGGAGCCATTTCTAAACGTTGAGAAAAATAATATAAAACCTTGTTCAATCTTCGTTCTTAACTTATTTAATGAATCTCTTTAACATTTTCAGGGGTAGAAATGGTGACAAAGACTTGATCTATGTTTCTCTCGACCCACTCGTTTAGATTAAATGATTTTGGAATCACTAGTTCTTGTTATTAGCCTTCGGTTAACAATGAAAACCAGAAGACCAAACTCCATTTGAAGCGATGAATTCAAGATGCCTTCTGGTAATAAGAGAAATCTACAACAAAAATTGTATGCATGAGAGATCCGTGTAAATATTACCCATTTCATCGAAATTCTGATATCTACAAATTCTTTAATCGCCATAGGGGGACATTACATAAAAATAAATTCCTAACTTTGAGTTACTTTCATCCCAACATATGATTTTCAGAGTTTCATTTTAGCTCCTCCTTTACTGTTTTTTTACGTTTAAAAAAATTCTCATACGTGTTAGAAAAAATACAAAAAATATTAGCATGCACTAAATGAAAACGAGTGGAATCTTTTTTTTAAAGATGGAAACATTAATTCCGAACACATACTTAGTACAGTGCATTATAAATATTTATTTATTATCATGTTTTCTGCATAAAGATGTTACTATTGTTCTTATTAACACACTATGAATTATACTGCTGAGCATATTTGTCATTATTTTAAAAAAGGGAATTTTGAGAAGTATTTGTGTTTGTAAGTCACCAGAAATTTGTTAGAAAGAGGTGTTTTGCTCCAAAACATTTCGTAAGTATAATTGATTATAAATGTTCGTACTTGCCAGTGAATATATGTTACTCTCTTAGATTTTCGGACTTATGGTCAGACATTTTACGTAAATAAGATTATAATTGTTGCAACATTAGTAGTAGTTTTAAATCTGATGAAATTAATGGTAGAAGAATATTATTGTGTTCACAAGAACCATTCAATTACGCATGAATTTAAAATATAAGTTATACTAGCATCTAAAGTTGAAAATTCACGTTTAATTTAAGTGTTTAAAAAATGAAATACTGACTTACCTGACAGTTAGATTTGTTAATAGAAATGCAGAGCAGTTCTTTTGGTATTCTCTTCCTCCACAGATAGTTAGCAAATGTGAATTCCATTAGGGCAAGGAATACAAATGTAGTACATGAACCCATCCATACATCCATAGCCTTGACATAAGAAACTGGAGGCAAGTTATTCTGGATTCCAGAGCCTTTAGAAGATATTGTCAACAGAGTAGTAACGCCCAGGGTGATTCTAGCGGGAATAGCTTCAATGTCCAGCCAGAAGGAGACCCAAGAGACAACGACAATCAAGACTGTTGGGAGATACGACTGAACCATATGGTACCCCAATGATCTTTGGAGATAAAACTCTGCCAGTAGACAACTGTATTCACCTATTTAAATGATAAATGCAATAAATGGAGTTTAAGAGTACAAAAGTGACACAAACTGTCCTTTTTTTATTTCCAAATGTTTCTGTTCCATCTTAATACCTCTTTTCTTACTGAAAAATGTTCATTGATGACAAACATCACCGAATTTCGCTCAGATCATTATCTTGACAACATCAACAAGTATATATCTCAAGAAAAAACAGCCTTTTTAAGGATAGATGTTTTCAGTTTAGATCGAATTATTTCATATTGTATATTTGCTCCAACTTCTGGAACGTTTGTGTTAATTGTAAAGTGACTACGATTCGCTTAGCCATAAAATACTGGCCTAATTCTAGCCATTATCTTCCACGAATGGCTGAGCAACTCAGGATAATCAGATTATACAAGTTTAGACCTGCACAGAAGTAAGAGTATATGAACATCGATAGTAATTGCTGAAGATCAAGTGCTGTACTTCATGGCAAATATATCACTGCTAGAATCTAATAATAATCTAATAAAGATGCGTACATACACTTTGACTGGAATTACAAGTGTCTTAAACACGCTTTTAGAAAATAGTGGTTTGCAAATTCGTATATATAACTTTTTTTTGGAACTTTTCAGAGTGGAGCGGGATACATCCTTCTGAAGAACATATCAATATACATAGGATATAATTTTACTGACTCTATATTGTTTGATTGGCTCAGCAGCTAATTAGAGTAAGTGTAAATTGAAATAATTTATCTAATTTTGCCAATTCTCAACTTACCATACATCAAAGGCGATTTCATTTATGAGGTGACGAAAGAATGACTAGAAAAGACACTAATATGTTATAATAATTGTTTGTGATTAACTGAATAAATAATATTAATGTCAAACAAACATATCCACTGAGGTTTTAATTGTAAACTCTGGAATGCTTAGCTGAGTGTCGAGATTTCAAGTCAATCACTGACACGTTTTGGTTCTAGACTAGAGGATGCTTAGCTCACTGTGAATATTTCAACCCAACCACCGAGTTATTGATTCTAAACTAGGGGATGCTTAGCTCAGTTTAAATTTTCACCGATTTGGCTCAGAAATACCAATAAGCTGTATCATATTTTGCTATTTTTGACTTAGTTCTGAGAATTGTTTTTGTACTATGTTGTAATAAACAACAAATATTAAATAAAGTGGGTACATTGATGTAGCATATCCACCTAATTAAGCAGACGTTGAGTACATTATATTAAAACGATTTTGAAGTCTCACAACGTCGTTACGGTCCATGTCGCCACGTCTGGTCATGTTCTATATGACAGCCGAGTATTAATGAAAAGTGGGTATACTGTGATATCATAAAGGCCTAATTATATGCGCTAAATGTTCTTTGCACATAAAACTTTGTTTAGAAACATTAATGTATAAATAACTGCATTTACAATCTTACACAGAGTTTAATACATATTTGTGTTTTTAATCCTGTTACATGGTGGTTGGTCATGTATTGCAAATTAATTGGGAATCAGGAAATGTAATATTAAATAACATTTACCAATAAACTTAGGACTGAATATGACTTATTGTTTAAACATGAAACTCTCCTAGTGGAAACAGGGGTAAGTTTACGGAATTACAGCTCTAAAATCAGGGGTTAGATTATCTGTGGTAGAGGCAGCAGATAGTCCAATGTGGCTTTATCTTAAAATACCATAGAAAAAACAAACTTGCCAAACGATGTGGTAATGAGGAGTTAGACATATTGAGGAAAACCTCTTGGGTACTTTGGAATGCATTCAAATAAACTAATGTTTTAAACTACGTGAAATATTTTCCTTTTATATCTAGAATAATAAAATGATACATATATATATAACACATTCACAGGATCAGTTCAGTCTGTTTTTGTACAATAACATCAAGATCACACACATATATACATCTATGATATAGAACAGAAAATATGGCCTACCAATGTGAAACTTTTCCTTGCACAAAGACGTGTTAATTTTGTTGATGTTGAACTGCGGCAGCTTCAGCTGATCGTAAAAGTTAATTGGCGTCTTATCTGCCCATTTCAACTGTAGTTCGTCCGTTGTTTTAGAAACTGTAACAGCAATAGCAGTAAGTATAAAGAGCCATTAACAGAAAAATTGTCATATTGTGTTTCATGAGTATTATAAATCTCATCGTCTATTAAAATCGACATATTTACCATTTAATATGCTATTATCTACAATGTTTGGTTCTGTTGGTCTGTCATTGTGAACATAATAGCTTTTAAGCAATTTTGACCAAGAGGTTTATATTTTGTATAGGTTTAATTTTTATAATGAACACAAAGATTTAGACTGTCATCTAACAAGTTGAGAAACAAGTTATTTTACTAGTTATACGTTCCTGTCGTCATACAACCCTAATGCACATTCCTGTCTCTATATGTAACCAGTATGCTATATGTTTCCTTTTTTATCTTTTACAAACACCTTAGACAAGATATACGTATATAGAAAAGGAGATGCTGGAAACTTTGATTCCCTTTTTTGATAATGAATCTAACCTCCTTGTGTGAGTGACGTGGCATTTTGGGAACTCCTGGTAGAACTTGAATTTGAAAATAGGTTGAAGCAAAGTCAATTCTTCTTCAGAATAAGTCTTCGTGGTTGTCCAGTGTAATTGTTCAGACACTGCCTTGAGCTACTGCATACAGTGATCCAGTGTCGTTTTTATATAATGTTATTTGGTTGGGAATAAAGGAGTTTGTTTCAAAGTAAAGCAACTACATCTAGTATCGGATTCTTTTGGACGAGTTGGATCCATAAAATTACTTCCAACTTCCTGTAATTGACTATTTGCTTTTTTGAGAGGCACCTTCTTAACTTACGAACAATATGAAGTTTTGGGACAGCTATTAGTGGAGCAATATATTTATTTTTGTACAAGGTATCGTCTCTAACAGTGAGACATGAGCACACACAACATTTAAGGTAAGAGTATTTCTGAGTATTATAAACCGAATTATTTGATTGGATGTATATACAGTTTGAATATATTCGTACCTTAGATGTTGTACGTGATCATGCCTCACTGTTAGAGACGATAAGTTGTAAAGAAATAAATCAATTATCCCACGAATAGTTGTCTCAAAACTTCATATTCCTGTAATGGAGTCTTAATAACTAACTTGTTGGTCCAGCTTCACACTGAAAATACTCCAGCCTTGTGAGTTTATTTAATTCCACATGTTTCAAATTAACGTGTTTCAATGGTTGAAATGAAATTAAGATCGCTATCAACGATGACATTCGTTAGAAAGTCATTGGAAGACGAAATAATATAAACCACAAAAGTGAACGCTAGGTTTCTAAATTGGATGCCTTTAATGATTTTATTGCCTTAGATACATATACGGGATACACTATATAACCCTTAATTTAGTCTTGAAAAGTGTGATATTAAGTATGTGTGAGTTTGGAATTTGTATTACCATAAAAAAAGGGAGCATTTTCCTTCAAACTTCACAAAGCTTACCAGTTTCAAGTTTCATAAACTTGGGGCTAGGAGAACTGTTTATCATGAAATTGGCAACGAAAGAGTTAAATTTTGATAATTTCCCTGAAGTAAGTTCAAAGTTTTAAGTAAAAAAATCATGACAACCGTACTTACTCAGAAATACTTTATGGCTCATCTTACTTTTTGTAGCATAAATCGCCAGGTACATGTATTAGTATAATATACCTCTTTGACGTGTTTAGTTTCTCCCATTCCAATACTGTTGTAACATTGTTGTGTTGTTGTAAAACTCTAAGAAGAAACCGTTATTCAAAACGTTGGCAAATTTACTTTTTTTTCTGAAGTTTGAATCGTTTTCAATTGTAGAATAAACGAGTTTTGAATATTCACAAAAATATTCAAAGAAGACATTGACAGTATTCAAAATACCAAGAAAGATGGGTTAGTAGGAAATTAGTGAGACAGTGTTACAGTGATAAGTTCCAAGATTTTCATCATGATATCTGTAAAATTTATTTTTGTAAACTTAATAACACACGAAATCATTAAATAAGAAACAAATTTATAGAAACAGTATATTTTAAGGTATATATAAGATAAAACAATTTTATTTTTAATTAGAATTTTTGCTGAAACAGTTTTTATTGCAGACGTTTGTCACGTGCATGTATGTTATAACGTGAAGTGCAGATAGCAAGCAAAATTACGATTTAAGTGGCATTCCTTAGGCGCTGTGCTATACTTGGGTTTCGTCTGGATATGAAAAAACGTCTAGTAGGACACTTTATATTGCTGCATTTTATCAAATATGAGTTTTATTACTGTTTAGAGTTTGCAGAGTAGAGGTAATACCTATAACAGAAAACACCTTAGATACCAAAACACATGTTTTATGTCCAATATTTCGCCATAACTGCATAGTCAATGATTAACATTACATAAATAAACATTTGGAGTTGTGAACGCCATGACAACATTACCAATAATTTTTTAACTTAGAAAAGAAGCTAAAACATGATTTTTACTTGTCTACTTGACAAATTTGGAACTCTTCTATTTAGCCAAGTGTTTCTTAAAATTAAACAACGTATTTAATATCATCATCAACTGATTACAAACAGTCCTCTGCTAACCCTAGTTTAGAAATCTATCACCGAGTAAGATTTCAGAATCTACAGTCTTCCCTACTGTCTATGTGTGGAAAAAAAATTACACATTAGAATGTTATAATTAATACAAACCTCACACTCTGGTGCCCCACCCCCCTCTATTGGCACAGCGGTATGTCTGTGGACTTACTACGCTAGAAACCGGGTTTCGATACTCGTGGTTGGAAGAGCACAGTCAGCCCTTTGTGTAGATTTATGACTATTTCTAGAGCGAATCTGTACTTGACACAATAAATATGTTTTTATTCCCAGTTACGTCTTGATCATATTGACGATCTTAACTTTTTGCTTAATTACAAACACACTCAAGTGTCTATTTCGAGAGCGAATCTGTACTTGACACAATAAATATGTTTTTACTCCCAGTTACGTCTTGATCATATTGACGATCTTAGTTTTTTGCTTAATTACAAACATACTCAGGTGACTATTTCTAGAGTGAATCTGTACTCGACACAATAAATATGTTTTTATTCCCAGTTAAGTCTTGATCATATTGACGAACTTTGCGATCGCAATTTCGCGAGAAAAACATTTCTTCATTGACTTTCTGTTGTTATCTTTGTAATATTGCTTTCAAACATATTTGGTGATGATCAGCGTCTGTTTTCTCGAAATTCCTGTTGTTGTAATAGTTCAAATATTTCAAGTTACTGTCATGATCATATATGAAGGTAGGTGGCAGTACGAACAGGGTTACATCAGAAATTACTGCCCTTATCAATTATGAAAATTAAAGTGAAGTTGGGACCTCTTTTTCTTCCTTCACTGCCGGCAGATATACCTTTGATCTGAAATGAAACCCTTCTGGTGTACAGTATAAATAGTAATTCTCGACAAGAGGTAGTTTTTGTTTTATTACAATGTAAGTCATTAGTAAGCCGTTTGGATTTTTATCTGACATTAACTTTGAATTGGCATATAGTGACATTTTCTTGTTTAGTCTGTCTGCCAAGCTAGACAAAAGTCATAGAGAGATCTATCGTGTTGTTTCATCAAACATCCTGACATAGAGATTGCACAGCTTACCAAATATCTACAACGTTTTATTTACTTAGGCAAATTTCTAATAATGCGTTTGTGTATGTAGAAACGTGTACAAGCTGTGTCCACTTGACTAGATCCGTATTAGTACGCGTTACCTACATGATGCAAGTTCGATGGAGCACACTTGAGAGTCCATAGGATAACTGGATAACTCCATCATACAGGAAAACCTGAGTTTTAGCCTGAAAAAAAAAGAGTTTAAAACGTCCGTATATGCGAAGGAAATTAAGAAAATTCATGCTGTAAAGAAATGAGTTCAGAGGGAAAGTTAGATGACCATAAACCTAGATCCGCTAATAAGACGATACTGTGTAATGAATGAACGTTAACAAATCAATTATTGTGTTAACATTAAATTATTATTATTATTAGTGTTACTATATTACCGTGATTAAGTTTAAAAATGGTAGAGTTTTTTTTTTGATTAACCAATGGTATTAACCTTTATTTTTTTTAAACAAATGGTTGAAAAACCAACGACGCCAAACCGCAGTTGTTCATCAGGCTTAAGCCTATTTTCCTATAGTACAATTATGTATATATATATATATACGCAAGTAGAATTAGATTCCATTAGTCTGAGCTAGGATAGCCAAGCTTTCTAGACACTTTTTATTAGCTTAATGTTAAGTATTTGTAAAATTATTTCTTAAACTACTGATTTTTGTCCAGGATTCTTGAAAAGTGTCTAAGCATTTAAAGTATAGCGACTAATTCCTGTGCTACAAGTTTCACATATCCAGAAAACTAGTGTAGAAAAACGGAGGAGAATAGAAGATCAACAAAATAGTACTTTAGGACTGATACTAAAAAAATAATGTTATACGTTTTCAAATTCTGTAGTATTCCATTAGCTTGCTTATCTTTTATTTATGTTTATCTTATCTTGCTTATCTTTTATAATAGAAAGATTGAAATACAGATTATCTCCCATTGGACAGTTTTTAATTTCTATACATTTATCTTAAAATTACCACAAAAAGTGACATCACATTTCGAGGAAAAATCCTAATAGTTATACTTTTTTTTATCATAAGAGCATTTATTCGTTAACAGTTCATGATAATAATACTTTTTATAAGATAGGATTAATGAGTGTGGCATCACTGTTATATTAAACAGTGACAACTGCTCCAGTAACGCCAGCATCAAGAGCACTTGTATACATATATTATGACACTACTATGGAGATAATGACGACAGTTGAAAAATAATCATAGGTTTTAAGCAGAGTCTTTTTACCAGCTATTAAAATTGAGAACTTTCCGCATTAAAGCTGCAAATACTTGAGTAACCACAACTGATTTCACATTCTTTAAAATTGCAACGTTTTTCAGCTTATATTTATTATATGCATTATCAAGAAACAGAAGAAAAATTGGGCCATTTTCTTTGTTTTATTTTGTTTTTCAGCCGCCAAACATATTTATTTTTAATTTTGTTAAAACTCGATTTTTTTAAAGTAAAGCAGTTGTTTCACTTAAGCTGTAATAAGTAAAAATATTAAGATATTTTAATATTAAAATATTTAATATTAAAAAGCTGTAATATTATACATTTAGCTCTGCCTTTAATGAGGGGCTGTCCGGATGATTTCTTACGACGAATTATTTTGATTCTTAGATGCAATGTTTTAGTATTTATTTTGTGCACGATTTGTTCATCAGAAAGATAAAAACCGCCTGGAGTCGAAACTAGACAAGTAAGAATCAATTATAGCTATAAACAGTTGACAGTTATAAGCAGGTTTATCGTGTTGTTTCATAAAACATCGTAACATAAAGATTGCATAATTTACAAAATACCTATAACGTTTTATTTACTTAGGTAAATGTATAATAGTGCACTTGTGTATGTAGAAACGTGTACAAACTGTATCCTCTTGATTGGATCCCCTATTAGTACGCCGTATTAGTAAGCTACTGTAGTAAGTTGTCTGGTTGAGCTACTACAGATACCCATAACATCAGTGATGTTCATTTCACTAACTTCTACACCTTGTATTTCTTATTTATTCCGGGTCTTCCTTCTGGTTTTACCCTGGAAGAAGAAAGGTCTACTAACTTCTTGGTTCACCCTTGAAGAAGGAGGATCTACTTTCTTCAAGGGTGAACCCGAAAATAAGGTCTACTTTTCGGGTTCACCCTGGAATAAGGAAGATCGTCCTTCCGGTTTCACCCTTGAAGAAGGAAGGTTTACTAATTTCTTGGTTCACCCTTGAAGAAGGAAGGTTTACTAATTTCTTGGTTCACCCTGGAAGAAGGAAGGTCTTCCTTCCGGTTCCACCTTGGAATAAGAAAGGTCTACTAACTTCTTTGTTCACCCTTGAAGAAGAAGGGTCTACCTTTCAGGTTCACCCTGGAAGAAGGAATGTCTACTAACTTCCTGGTTCACCTTTGAAGAAGGAATGTCTATCTTTCTGAGTTCACCCTCGAAGAAGGAGGGTATATTTTTCGGTTCACTCTCGAAGAATGAAGGTTTACTTTTCGAAAACCCTCAAATTACTGAGTTGCTTATTTAAAATTCATCAAATGTTTGATATGCGCGATTTCCTAGTGTCATGAATCCAGTTTAAGTAAATATTACTTTACTAGGTCTACACGTTAGTTTACAGAGTTTGTTAGCTTACCGGAGCATGTACAAAATTTCTCCACCTGAATTAATTCGTACAAGCACATTGGGCACTGTGACAAGCTGAAAATCTGCACTCTTTGCATTGGGAAAAAACACTTCTGGTTTCCATATCTTTTTCACTAGATCAGGATCACTGAGGTCAAGAGGTCGAAAACTAGAAGCTTCCTTAAATCTCTCATCAAACCATTTTTCCTGAAGATACAGGTCAACCTCATAATCCTAACGACAACAATATGTTATCTGATTATCTATATTTTATGGCTAAAACAACATATTTCGATTTAGGTGTTAAATAAATCATTATTGCGTCTTTCAATTCTATTAACTTTAAACTTTGTAGAATATCAAAATTCAATGGTAAATATAAAATATTGTTTTTAAAGTTATATGTTATCCAAAAAAAAAATGTTTAGTAAAAAATATTTCCTATCATAGATGAATTTAAAACTAAAAAACATCGTTGTTCATGATATAAATATCATGAAATATCACTTGGTCAAATATCGCTTTTTTACTCCCTGATATTCTGCAGAATACTTCTGAATATTAATTCTATTAATTAATTATAGAGGGAAATCATATATGTAAATATAAGATTGCTACTTGACTGTACAATTGTTTATATTTTGTATTTTGTAATAGCACAAATTACTTTAATCTGCTGGATGTATTTGCTTAATAACATAGCTTAGGCTAGTTTTAAACAACTTGAATTTTTATACTCGTCTAGTTGGTAGGTCTTCTTTTCAATTATAATAAAACAAGTATTTGAATTAAATGACATAAAACTTAAATATTTGTCAAAATATAGGTTAAATTTTGATTTTAAACATATCTACATTAAAGATTTAATTATAGACCTAACATGTGTGTTGTGTTTTTCTTATAGCAAAGCCACATGAGGCTATCTGCCGTGTCCACCGAGGGGAATCGAACCCATGCTTTTAGCGTTGTAAATCCGTATAATTAAATATAGATCTAATCATATTGCGATTAAAATGGAATCAAATTCCAAGGAATATTTCGGTAAAGTTTGTTTGTGCCACTGGGGGACATTTCGGTAAAGAACAAAAAAGAAAAAATTCTTATTTGGTAATAGATTTCAAACATAAAGTATATGATGATTTATCTCTACCATATTTAATTCATAGTGGTCAAGTAGTAATATTTCCCCAAAAATCATTACAATATATTGTTAGTTTTAAATACAATATCCCTATGGGACCTCTTCTCTTTAACTACAAAAATTTATTCAAGATTTAAATCCGAAAGAAATTGATAAATTATTTTGCAGCTGTACAACTAATGATTTTTTGGACTCTTTTCGTAAATATATTGTTACAGGCAATTTAGATGTAATAAAAAATAAGGAATTAAAATTGATTTTAGAAGAAGATACAAAATTTTAAATTTTGAAAAAAAACCAAAAAAGTGAATTATTAAAAGATTTGAAAAAAAAATATTGATTATCACGTTATTAAAATTAGAAAAAAATATTTTAGAATTAGAAATGTCTCTGTGTCTCTTTTTTTTAATGGAAACTATTTTTATTAACTCCATAAAAAACAGTCAGAACTTTAAACTTGTCTAAATATAAAATAGATATTTCTTTCAATATCTTTAAAAATACAATAAGAGAAATTCAAGAACAATTGATAAACCGGGTTGTCATTTTGGTTTTGTATGTAAAAAAATGATATGCGAAAATTTTAAATAATGAAATGCATACATCATACACATTTACAAAAAGTACTTTAAATGAAAATGTAATTATCACTAATTTAAAGAAAGCCATTAAAAATGAAATATAAATACAGGTTCTACTTTTTAGAACTTGCTATTTTTATATAATCAATTCCGAAATTGCAAAAAACTTCTATTATGTTCAGGTTTATTACAAACTTTTTAAATAAAAGTTACTAAGCCTGTTTTTTTTTGTATTCGATAACATTCTGGAGGTTTTGTTTAAAAAACTAAAGTTATTAAATGATTCAGACCATTATTTGTGGATAAGCAAAAACAATATTCCGGTTTTGGAATGTTTAACTTAAATTATTTAAAAACAACCAACTCTGTAATTACTTGTGATTTTGCTACATTATATACTAAAATAGATCTGAAAGATTTAATAAGGGATTTTAATGATCTGTTTGATAAATTTGTAGATACAGAAAGAACTATTCCAAAATTTAAATTCACTGAGCATCAATGTAAAAATATACTTAATTTTTTATGAGTATTTCTATGCGTGCTAATTGGTCTTCAAAAATGAACAACTTGTATCTGTTCTTTTATGAAAATTCATTTTTTGAAACAGGCATTAAACTCTAATTTAACATGTATACTTTTCGTTACATAGATGATCTAATCTCCATCAATAACTTGAATTTTGATCCAAACCTAATATATCGAAAGTAACTTATAATAGAAAGAAGCAATGCTAGTGATATTCGTGCACATTATATAGATTTAGACATTAATTTTGTAGATGGTAGAATACAGTTGGTTATGTTTGATAAAAGATGGGAATTTGAACTTCCCATCCTTGGTCTACCCATCTCTAACAATGTTGTTTCGACTATATTGTTAAAAGGAATTATTATATCTCAGTTAAAAATATTTTTAACAATTTGTAATAATAGTAATTCTTTTATGGTTAATGTTCAATTACTCATAAATAAATTGAAAAATAATGGTTATAAGGACTGGCATGTAGAAAAATGTTTTACTCTTTTATAATAAATATTAATTTATATTAAAAAGTAAACTCTCGATTACGGAACCTTCCTTGTGGAAAACATAGAGAACGTTAGTTACTCAAGATCATTCATGGCTTATAAGTAACTATTTAGGTATTTTGTTCAGTATATAGGAGCAGAAAGAACAACTTCAGGTAGCTGGGCTTGTCTCAGCTCAGCAGTTTTATACTTCAGCAAATTTTCAAGAAAATGTGAGGAATATAGGGAATTAAAGTGAGAGTTTTTAGCTCTGATTAACATAATTTTGTTATTATTAGATAAAAGGGTGAAAGTTGGAAGTCTTTAGGAACATAGAATGATCTATTTCTACTATGAGAATATTTTTGCCTTTTTGTTCATCTTACAGAAGTTTTATATTGTAGAAAGTTAGAGTGGTTTATTTCTACTTTAAGGTTGTACCTACATATTAAGGGTAACTGCATTCCCACAACTGGCTGCAGACAGCGAAAGGCAGTGGGAGTTGAAACTTGTGGGTTCAAGCACTCAACTCTTAACCCTTAACTAATTTTCCTTAGTTGCTGGCTAGTTTGATATCCGTGTTTAGATCTGATAGATGGAATATCCCCAGCGCGTTTGAGTGCTATGGCAATAGACATTATCTATTAAAATTTTTAATGATGACAACAAGGACTGGTAATGGGAAAAATTAATTTTGATTTTTAAGCCTCTTTGTAATGGTTTTTGATTTATATAGGTATATATATATGTGTGTGTGTGTGTGATTATGAAATTAATTTTCTAAGCCCGTAAAAGAGCAAAATATGAAGTACAATACTATTATTATCAGTTAGGACCACAAAGAATACATTATCTGTTTCAATATTTGTTTTACACAGTTAAGGTATAATTCTAATCTATTATCAGTTCTTATATCATGTATATTATTAAGTAGTACTTAATAGTAGGGATCGACAAGGTTTCCAAATAAATTACGCCCCGAGAAACCACCCTATTGAATTCCTATGCGAAAATCCGAACATTTAAAGTATTGATTACATTATAGTATGCGCATATATACTAGTAACATGCTAAAAAGGTCGCTAACATTTCCGGTATAACAATTGAAAAAATCCTAAAACGGCAACGTTTTTGTCTGCTACCTACCTACCTACCTGATCACGTCAGCTTAGACGGCTCAAACTATCGCTACAAGATTTTTCCAGCTTACTTGGCTGGTCTGTAGGTATCCGCTTTTGATATTCCGATAGCCCCCCAGTGGCATAGCGGTATGTCTGCGGACTTACAACGCTAGAATCCGGGTTTTGATACCCGTGGTGGGCAGAGCACAGATAGCCTATTGTGTAGCTTTGTGCTTAATTATAAACAAATAAACAATATTCCAATAAATATATACACATTTTTATAAACGGTATAAACATATCAGGCACGTACTTCATTAAATATCTTTAAACTCAATTCAACCCAAACCAATGCTACATATCGATGGATAGATACACAACAGTTTCTAAAGGTAAAGTATATACTTTATACAGGTATAACATAAAAAGTAAACAAACAAGTATAAAAAAATTATGAATTTGAAAATGAAGTAAGGGATCCTGCTACAAAAAGTAATGAAACAATAATTAAAACCACAGTGACAAGTGTATAAAATTTAATCCCTACTTTGACAGTTTTAAACACTTATTCGTAGGCTAAAATAAATATTACATTTTATAGATTTGTGATTATGGTTTTAATTATTGTAAAAGTTGTAGTTATCAGGGATATAGCTATACTGAAAGATTATAGCTGCTGTGTCCATTCCATGGACACTTAAAAATTCAACAAATATATAGGAAAAAAAAATTAGAATTTTAACGGAAAGTAGGGGTCGTTGGTTATTCGAAGAATTACCAAAAGAAATATCAAAATATATGCTACAATAAAAAGTACACAAACTAGTAAAGTGATACTAGTTGGATGGTTTGTTTGTTTGTTTGTTTTGAATTTTGCACAAAGCTGCACGAGGGCTATCTGCGCTAGCCGTCCCTAATTTAGCAGTGTAATACTAGAGGGAAGGCAGCTAGTCATCACCACCCACCGCCAACTCTTGGGCTACTCTTTTACCAACGAATAGTGGGATTGACCGTCACATTATAACGCCCCCACGGCTGAAAGGGCGAGCATATTTGGTGGGACGGGGATTCGAACCCGCGACCCTCGGATTGCGAGTCGAGCGCCCTAACCACCTGGCCATACCGGGCCCTAGTTGGATGGAAAATTATTTTAAAATCTGTCCAACTAGTATCACTTTACTCGTCTGTGTACTTTATATTGCAGCATTTATTCTGTTTTGGATGCTGCTTATAGCAATTCTACAATAAACAACGATTCCTACTTTTTGTTAAAATGTTATTTATTTTTTCCTAGTTATATATACTACTCGTAGTTTATTTCTAGACAAATACAAAACGGACAAACTCAAGGAATTTAAGCAGGTTCCTAAATACTGTTTTATTTAAATTTATTATTGCTTTCATATCCAAAATATTTATATGCGTATAAATAGAAAATCAAAATAATTTCGGTATTTAATGCCAATAGCTTGCAAACAGACATTTTTTTTTTAGTAAGATAAAACTACACACTAGAAAGAAAATTGCAGTTTAACAAAATAGTCATTTTTCAGAATTGTTTTTC